ACGTCATGTTGTTCAATCATTGGGTTCATCACTTTTTCAATTTCGATATAACCAAGAAAATATCGGTTTTGTCCGAATTGAAACCAGAGTGAGCACATTTTATCATTTTTTATTTTTGTTGTGCTTTATTATATATTTTAGATCCAAATATGTCATAATTTTCTTGCTGGCAAATGTAATTTCAAAACAGAAGGATGCAACCGACTTCATTTATGTCGTCATTTTGATAGTTGTACAGAGAAAGATTGTCACTTTCCACATAACTTTACTCATGATAATAATCGACGTATTGTGGAGCAATCGAACTGTCAAAACGTTGATCCATCATTACTCGTTCGCCTTATTCGACTTAATGAACAATTTTCTAATCGTTTATCGAAGGTAAGTATTTTGTGTTGTTTACTAGAAAAGATCAACTTCTTCATGTAGAATTTTGCCACTTCTTCTATTGTTTCACAACCAGCGGATACGACATCATTATCAGTACAGACCAAACCTGTTCAACCAGTTTTTGAGCGAAGCAAACCTACTCGTTCAAGACGAAGAACTCGAGGCAATGCGTCGAGAAGAGTTGCTGATGAGCATAATACTACTCCATTGGTTTCCATGTCGTCAGCACCAGACATAGATTGTCAAATCAATATCAGTTTCCTATCAGCATCTATTGCTCACTATATTACCATCGAGGATATTGTAGAATTCTTAAGACGACAAGGTTTACCTGTTCTAACAATGTGTAAAACAAAGGAAAAGGAATATTTTAATCAATGGACACTTCAGTTTCAAGATAATAACAGTAAATAATTAGTAATCTGCTCATGTAAAATTTTGTTCTATAGTTGTAGACAATCTTCTGGCAATACCTGGTATTTTATATCATGGTATTCCTTTGAAATTTAAAAGGGCTAGCTCACTAATTGATGAAAAAGGTTTTGTACTCAAATCAACAATCGATTCAAAACGAGGTCTAATAACAATCGAGGAATTTTCAAATTATATTGATGTTTTAATCAATCAAGCCTCATTCAAATTAATCGATTTGTCATCACCACTGGAACAGATTCTACTGATTCAATGTGATAATAACATTGGTATGAATTCTCTTTAAGCATTTTATGTTTCGATTTGAACACTGATATCTACTTTCTAGATTTCAGTCAACTTAGTCGTGTACAAAAGTCAAGACGACAATTACAAGGAAAATATATCTCATTGATACAAGTATATGAATTAGAAACTGTCATTATTGAGTCTATTCACAATCGAATGTCCATTGAAATCGTTAAAGATATTATTGAGCCTGTCCTTCAGAGTGTTTTTACATTTACTATATTATCTAATCAGACGGCATTTATCGAATTCATCAATGCTGATAGTTTAAAACAATGGCTATCACTGAGCGATGAAGCAAAACAAAAATGTGGTATTAGTATCAAACTCCATGTTAAATTTATCGATGAAGACTGTTTTGCCGATGATAGTTATATCACTCCTTATTCCTCGAGTGTTCTACTATCGTTGAAATCAATTGAAAGTAACACACTTTCGCAAGTGACAGTGAATCTCCGTTCAAGTTGGGCGATGGTTGCCAATCATCCAACATTTAGTATTGAATACAAGAATTATATAAGTAGGGTAATCGATAAAGGTCTTCATCCCGAGATGAATGCATACGAGTCCGCTCTAATGAGCAAAAGGATGCCGAAATCGGATGATATTTTGATACATCATCAGGAACTGAAAATTCTGCTGATATCTCCAGTGATTTATGATCAGTATACTGCTCCTGAGAGTGGGAAACAATCAGAAACTATCAAAGAAAACTGAAGTTTCAGTTTGCAATACTATCTTTCGGATCAATGATTGTGACTCCCGATTTAGTGAATTTCTAGCTAGAACTTGTGAGAAAAATGTCGCTTGCATCCTGAAAACAACAGAAGGTTTGAAAAATGAATATGGCGATTGTATTTAGCAGTGCGCTCTGTCTGATTATGCTAGGCTCTAAGCGAAACTACATAAAATTTTGGTCCTCAATCCAGACATTGAATTTCTGCCATTCCTCTGAGTTTTCTAACTGAAATCACTTGAACATTCTTCAGCTACACTTCAACTTCTATCGATTTTCTAAATTTTCCAGTAAAATTCGATGATTTTGCCGCTTTATTCAAACGACTTCTTGTATAACCCGTTTGTTTTCAAAAGTTAGAACCATCGGCCTGGATATGCGTTCATCAGATTCTCGACGTTAAGCATTAGTTTGACGTGAATATTGTACCAGCTAGAGATCGAAGTTTGGACTTTGACATCGACAGTTTAATGAAACATACATTTGATTGATAGTTACGCGAACTCCATGAGATCATGTCTCATAGTGACCATATAAATCAGAAGTTTTGACATCGAACTTGAATACAAATAGCTGGAGATCTTCTCCATGATTTTCTGTACCTATAACCTATACTCCCTACATAATATTTGTTCAAATTTTCTTCAAGATCAAAGTAAATATTTGGCACATTCTATCAAATACTGAAGTTATAATAAAATAGTGCCATTATTGTCTTTTCGTGTGCTTGTTTATAATACGAGATTTATTTTTGTAAATCGGGAACGAAACAGGTACTTTACAGTCGACTTCATTCTAGCCAATTTCTATTTTTTCGATTCTTGAAGCGCTCACATTTGGTTGGTAAACTAATGTAGGCTCATGTTCGAAGATTCTTGGTAAACTTATAATAGGCTATGTTATAGAGTCACTTTTATCTTATTTTGCATTAATCGGTTCTCATTGTAGGATCGCAACTTGGAATTAATATTCAAATTTATGATAATCGTATTGAAACGTATTGTAATACTATTTCCAATACATTGATTGAAGAAAATACGGCTGCTCTTCTGTGCCAAAGAACTGACAACTTTATGCGTAAATTTGCTTTTCGCTCAATTGTTTTGCAAGATGTAACGGAACAACTTGATATACTTCACGCACATTCAATTACTGTTGCCTTCTCTTGTATCAAAGACAATAATTATATGTTGGCGACGAATCGGTCAAATATAAAATGTATTATGCAGAAACTATCACAAAAGAAAGCAATTGATAAAAAACCAATAAATAGTTCACCTTCAAAGACATCCAATAATCCCGAAACGACCAGCAATGTAGATCAAAGGCAACTATTACAACAGTTATCACCATTATTTATTTTCATTTCCCTTCTTTTTAGAGAATCATCAACATGTGTGGCTCCACCACCATTGCTCAATACCATATCTACCGATGACAAGTTCGTATATATGTATTGTTTTCTTTGAACTCAATCTATTTTCTATAGGCCTATCGAAACCGGCATGATTATTAACATGACCTCAGCATTACAATTGAATACTTCAGCACAAATAGCTTTATTTACTGATAAGACATTTGAATTCTGTGTTCAAACTTATTTTAATGACAATTATCAAGTTCAAATTAATATTGCGCGCACGGCTGACATCAATACTCAATATATGGTAAAGTTATTCGGTCTACAGAGTTCTATCGATAAAGCACTCAAAGATTTGCTAATTTTAATTTCATTATGCCGTACAAAAATATTCAACGAGATGACAGGTTTGAAATTCTTCAAGTTATCCTATTAAATAATTTTATTAGTTTAGATAGTGGTTGGACAAAGATTAGCGATGCAACGCGTGTTATTCAATGCCATTTAAATATAAATAACAACAGGTGTGTGTGTCAGCAACAGATATCTCCAACTTCAATACTGGTGCATTATGTCGACAAGAAACATCCTCAGTTAGGTGTCGATGAACAAGTCATTGAAACATGTTGTCGAAAGAAATTGATTCTAGCTACATGTACATCAACTACAGTTGAACCGGAATGGACGATACTTAAAACTGAAATTTTTCAACGTTGGGATTATGGAATAAATATTTGTCTTTTTGATGAACAACAAAAAATAAGTTTTTTCGGTTTACCTGAAGTTGTGAAACATGTTCAACAATTATTTGAAGATAAGAAAATAAAAAATGTTCCAACTGTTGTTAAAAAGGAGGCGAACAAACCAGAAGTGTTACCGATTTCAAAACCATCAACTTTAAAAGTTGACAATTCTCCACAAACCAGTAAGACCAATATACATCAGGAATGTAATCAATTAAATACACAGAAAGTTGAAAAATTCTTGATCACATTCGATGTTGATGAACCCGGTTTCGAAATCTTTGTCAATCAACAATTCAACCAATTATTGACTGTGGTTAAATCGAAATGTCAGCTAGAAAAGCAAATCCTTCATCATCAAATTCAGATTCAAGTACCTAAAGCAAAAGTTCATTTCAACAATACTACATTACAAATGCAACCGCAAGAAAATAATTCTGAACCCACAAATGCTTCGAGCCAAGCTTCTATTGACCCAAAACCGAATTGGTTTCTAGGATTGTTTGGCTTCAAAAAATCTAACAAACAATCTTCTTGGCCTGTACAACAACAAAAATCAACATCACAAGTACAAATGACATCGAATGTGATGAATCTAACAAGTGTTGCAATAGGCAATTCAAAGATCATTGTTTGCACCGGAGATTTAACAAAACAAGCGGTTAGTTGTTTTTCTGTGGATTGAAAGTTTTTAACTTATCCTGTCGGGCCAAAAACATTTCAGCTAGTTTCTTTTCTTATAAGCGGATAGATACTATCGAACGCCATTGATAAGAGTGATGCGTGACGAAAATAACTTTATAGAAGCTCCAGGCTTCAAATATAAAATCCGCTTTTATATCATAAATACAGGGTGTCCCAAAAGTCATGATCACTTAAGAATTGCGTATAACTCCGTTATTAATCGAGCTTAATCTAATAATTTCTTTTTTATTTGAAAGAGAAGAGCGCAAAGTTTTTTTTGTCTAATACGAAGTTGATAAATGCTTTCGAAAGGCTATCTCTTCTAGTTGCACTGTAAAAAGTTAGCATTTTTCCAATGTCAAAAAAGAACCAAACTTTCACAACACTTTGATTTCGCATACATCACGGCCTGAGAAAATGATAAAATCTTGATCTTTTTTTTTCAGAAGATGCGCCGTGACAAGCTCTAGAGAAACTGCATAAACCAATCCTATTGAATTACTCAGGTGACTTTTTCCATACTCAAAATGAGAAGCTATATGATAATGCTACTTCCCGCCGCATTGAGCAGAATAAAAAGGTTTCAAAGACTTTTTGTTTTGTAATAGAGGCTTGTTTATACAACTTTTGTAAAACTTTGGACGACGCATTTTTTTGCAGAAAAAAAAAAATCAAAATTTTGCCATTTTCTGATGTCGAGATAAATGCTAAACAAGAACTCTTCGAAACATTTTTATTATGCTCATTACAATGGAAAGTAGCACTATCATATAGCTTCTCGTTTTGAGCATGGACAAAAGTCGCCTGAGAAATTCAATAGGATTAGTTTATGCTGTTTGTCTAGAGCTCTTCATGGCGCATCTTTCGAAAAAGAAATCAACGTTTTATCATTTTCTCAGATCGAACTATATTCGAAAGAAAAATGTTGCAAGCATTTTGATGAACCCGGTACCACGTTTTTTCTATATGTATTTCAATTTCTATTTTGACTATCGGCTTTAAATCATTAGCATCATTCACTATTGCTTTATTAGCGTTCGTCTTGATATAGTCTGAAAAAAATGCAACGATGTCAAGTCTTATATCAGTAAGAATCACGAAATCGTTCGGTACCCTCATTTCATCGATTATCAAAATTTGCGCTGTGCAAAAGAACAATCTACTTTCAAGAAATGTATCAATTAGTCGATCTTTTCAAAAAAATGTCAAACAAATGGTTATTGAGAAACGATGAGAGATGTTAATGATTTAAAGTCGATAATAATGATAGAAATTGCAATAAAGATACGAAAAAAGTTGTATACTGTTTTTTAGACATGGGAAAAATGCTAACTTTTTATAGTGCAACCGGAAGTGATAGCCTTTCACAGTATTTGTCAACTTCGTATTAGACAAAAAAAAACTGTATGCTCTCCTCTTCCAAATAAAAATAAAAAATATTAGATTAAGCTCGATTAACAACGGAGTTGTACGCA